TGTCATGGCTGCATTATTTCCCGAGCGGGTTGGCTTGGAAGTCGACGCTGCATCTATTCCAGTTCTGAGTTGGGTTGGCTTGGATGCCAATGCAAGCTGACCCATCCTGAGGTCATCCTCCCGGGTGGCCTCATCCTCCTGCTTTGAGGCCGTCATCACAAACGGCCTCCTATGCTCCTTGCCTGGCATCTGGGTTGTCCTCCCAAGTGACCTCTTTTTGCTTGGAGGTCATCCTCCTGAACAGCCTTCCCTTCTTCTCCCTCGGTGCTGTCCTCCAGAACAGTCCTCTCTACAGCCTTCCAAGTTTTGGGGCCTTCCTCCGGAGCATTCCTCTCATTCCCCTGCCTGGTGCAGTGGCCGTTCTTCCAGTTGGTCACTTCACCTTCCCATCTGGTCCCAAGGCCATCCTCTGGAGTGGCCCTCTCAGTTCCCTGCCTGGGTTGGTGGCCATCTTCTCAGTCTGTATCTCCAGCTTCCTATCTGTTTGAGTCCCGGAATTACAGCTACACTTGTGTTCTCTGTACTCTTGTCTGTTGATAAAGACTTTCTAAGTTCTATGCCTAGTCCTGGTTTACATTTTGGGTCCTAGCCCCATGTTGAAAAAGGAATGCACATTAGGAGAATATAAAGTACATATAAAAATAAAAACATACCTACACAGTGTAGATGCCGGTTTCCAGATAGATATAGACAAAGGTTTATTACTGCACTGAGGGTGGTAATTCTGTGATATAGTCATGGGTTACGTAACTGTTCATCAGTGACAGCTCGGGAGAAGAAACTGTCCTTGTCTGGTTGTTTTGGCGTACACTGACCTGTAGTTCTGTCCAGAGGGAAGGAGTTCAAATAGTTTGTGTCCAGGGTGTAAGGGGTCTACAGAAATCTTCTCTGCCCTCCTTTTGACCTTTGAGTTGTACAAGTCCTCCATGGAGGGCAGGCTGGCATCAATCTTTTCTGTAGTCCTGACTGTTTGCTGTAGTTTGTTCCTGTCCTGTTTGATGGCTAAACCAAACCAGAAGGTGATGGATGAGCAGAAAAGAGACTCAGTGATTCCTCTGTAGAACTGTATCAGCAGCTCCTGGGGCAGGTTGAACTTCCTGAGCTGTTGCATGAAGTACATCCTCTGCTGTGCCTTCTTGATGATGGTGCTGATGTTGGATGTCCAGTTCAGGTCCTGGAAAATAGTGGAGCCAGGCAGTGGAGTTGCTGGGTTCCAATATTTCCCAGGTGTGTGGGCTCTTCCTAAAGTCCACTGTCATTTCCATTGCTTTGAGCATGTTCAGCTCAAAGTTGTTGCAACCGCACCACAGGGGCTGCTGTACCACCTCCTGTTTGTATGCAGACTCGTCACCATCTCGCATGAGACCGATGACTGTTGTCATCTGCAAATTTTAGGAGTTTAATAGAGTCTCCAAGGTGGAGTCGCTAAGCCAAGTCTCCATGAAGCATAAAGCAGCAGAGCGTGAGAAGTCAGTTAGTCCCGTTGAAGAGAAGGAGTTCATCCATTTTGTTGGCTAGGGAGTGGAGACTTGCTATGTCAATGTCAAGTGTTTATTGTCATACGCACAGCTAGGAAATGTGTTTCACTGTACAATGAAATTCTTCCTTTGCAGCCCGCACAAATGGCACACAATATAAATTACATATAAAGTAGATACATAGGTGACAAAATCTAAATCACAAAATCTAAGGCACTTTAAAACAGCCAATGAAAAAAAGCATAATGAAAAATACAACAAGAACACCATGTAGTGAAGAGAGAATGTATGCTACATTGGAGCTGTGTGTGCAAATAGTCAGCAGTGAGTGTGCAATTGTGCATGTACAAACTGAGTGTGTACACGGTACAGGTGGAATTACATGAGGTAGTTCCTGAGTCAGCTGTTTAGGAATCTGATGGCACTTGGAAAGAAAGAGTTTTTCAGTCTAGAGGTCCACACCTCTGAGACTCCAACCTGAGAGTAGAGGTGTGAACAGTCCATGCTCAGGGAGAGTGGGGTCCTTGAGGATGGAGGCAGCTTTTATACGCACTCTGCAGTAGTAAGTGTTCTGCAGAGAGGGCAGTAGAGTCCTGGTGATCTTCTCCATAGTCTTTACCACTCTCTGCAGGCGCTTGCGGTCTATAACAGTAGTGCTGCCATACCAGACAGTGATACAGCTGGTCAGGATGCTCTTGACCAGCTGTAGAAGTTACAAAGGATCCTAGGGGACATGCCAAACCTCCTCAGCCTCCTCAGGAAGTACAGCCACTGTTGGGCCTTCTTGACCAGCTGTGTGGTGATAAGTGTCCAAGTGAGGTCCTCACTGATGTGGACGCCCAGGTATTTGAAGCTGCTCACCCTCTCCACTTCGAGCCCCCGGATGAACAGTGGCTGATGAGATCTCCTCTACTTCCTCATGTCCACTATCATCTCCTTTGTCTTGTCCGTGTTGAGGCTGAGATTATTGTCCTTGCACCATGACACCAGACCAGCCACCTCCCTCCTATAGGCTGCTTCGTCCCCGCCAGTGATACAACCTATCACTACAGTGTCGTCCGCAAACTTTAGGATGATGTTGTCCTTGTGGGAGGTGACACAGTCGTGGGTGAACAGGGTGTAGTGGATGCGACTGAGGACACATCCCTGTGGGGTGTCAATGTTCATGATGATGCTGGCTGAAATCCTGCTGCCAATCCTGACAGTCTGGGGCCTACCAATCAAAAAGTCCAGGAGCCAGTCACAGAGGGTGGAGTGCAGACCCAGTGTGAAACAGTTTGTAGGTGAGTTTGTGGGAGACAACTGTGTTGAAGGCAGAGCTGTTGTCAATGAAGAGTATCCTGATGTAAGAGTCTCCATTTTCCAGGTGAGAAAGGGAATAGTGGAGGGCAGCCGCGATGGCGTCTGATGTGGTCCTGTTGGGCCGGTAGGCATACTGCAGGGGGTCCAGGGTGTGGTATACTGCTCTGGATGTGGGCCAGCAAAGCTCTCTCAAAACACTTAATAGTGATTGGGGTGAGTGCCACTGGCCTGTAGTCATTCAGGCAGGTGACCAGGCTCTTCTTGGGAAGGGGAACAATAGTTGTGGTTTTAAAGCAGGTGAAACGATGCTCTGGCTGAGGGAAAGATTGAAGATGGTGGTGAGAACATAGGCCAGCTCGCTGGCACATGCTCCCTCCCAGGGATGCTGTCTGGTCCTGCTGTTTTGCGGGGGTCGCTCTTTCTCAGGACTGTGCATACCTGACCTGTTGAGACAGTTAGTGGAGGGGGGAGGAGAGGTTTCAGGTGTGTGTGTGTGTGTGCTTCCCCTCTGTGCTGTAGCTGGAGGTCTCAAAGTGTGTGTAGAAGGTGTTGAGGTCATCTGGCAGGCTGTCTGTGGAGCTGATGATGCTGCTGGTGGTCCTGTAGTCTTTGATGTGCTGCAGGCCTTGCCACATCTGTCCGGAGTCGGCAGAGACCACTCAGCTTCTCCCTGTACTGTCATGGTCCTACCCCACTCCTCTTTTGAAAGGACTTCCTGTTCCTGGCTCACCCTGCCTACCGGGAGCTTTGGTTCATCACTCACATCAGCTGCACCTGCTCCTCCATTACTTGCACCTGTTTTCACCCCTATTTAAGCAGCCCTCTCCCACCAGTAACCTGCCAGATTGTTCTTTGCTTTAGCCTAGACTCTCCAGCATTATTGTGCCTGATATTCTGAGATCTGAAAACCTTGCCTGTACTTACCACTTACAATTATTAGCCTTGCCCCTGTTATTTGGACTGCTCTCTTGTTGTTGACCGCCCCGCCTGGACTCCTGACCTGCATATCTGCCTTGCCCTGTTCTTGCCTGCTTTGCCTGCTCTCCTTTACTCCAGAGCTCTGCTGCACGGGCTATTTTTACATTCTGGTACTCCCCGAGACTGGCTCTTTAATTGGGTCCCTACCTTATCCCTACGGAGGCTGCTCACACTGCCCTTTGTGACATGTCCTGCCTCTTGGCCACTGTGATTACTTTCCTCAGTCTGTACTTTGTAGCTTTGTACTCCATCTCATCACCTGATCTGAATGCAAGAGAGCAAGCACGCAGCATGTGGCATGCCTGACTGTTTATCCAGGGCTTCTGGTTGGGGAACCTCCTGACTTGGGCACGATGTTGTCAATACAAGTACTAATGTACCCGGTCACATACTCAACATAGTCCTGTATGCTGACAGAAAAGTCCTCCAAGGTGGCTGCACATCCCAGTCTGTCCAGGTAAAACAGTCCTGGCAAACTCTGGACACCCTCAATCTCTGGGGTCCAGAGTTTAACTTGTTTGGTGACAGAGATTGTTTGTTTCAGTCTTTGTCTGTAAGCTGGATACATGAACAAAGAGATGTGATCAGAGTGTCTAAAGTGGGGGGCGGGGTGCAGCCCTGTATGCACCCCGTATGTTACTGTAAACATGATTCAGAGTGTTCCTGCCCTGGGTGGGAATCTTCACATGTTGGTAATATTTGGGAAGTACAGTCCGTAGATTGCACCGATTAAAGTTGCCTGCAGCGATAAATACAGCATCGGGGTGCGCTGTCTCTAGTGTGCTGATGATGTCGTGGAGCTTGCTGAGAACTGCTGTGGGATTAGCTCTTGGGCTAACATACACGTTAGCCAAAAACACACTACTATATTCTCTTGGTAGATAATAGGGCCAGCATTTCAGCACTAAAAACTCCACGTCTGGTGAGCAGTGCTTATAAACAGTCCATATAGCTCCACACCATGAGTTGTTGATAAACAGACACACACCTCCCCCTTTGGCCTTACCAGAAGCTGGCGTCTGGCCTCCTCAATGCCCGGAGTGTGTTTGTAGCTGAATGGCGGATTTCTGGGACTTTGTCTGACAGCCAGGTCTCGGTGAAAATCAGGCTGCAGCACTGTCTTATTTCCTGTTGCGTTGTAATCCTGGCTCTTAGCTTGTCCAGCTTGTTTTCCAGAGACGGTACATTAGCTAGTAAAAGGCTGGGTAACAGTGGTTGGCTAGCACAAGTTTTTAGACTAGAATGGAGCCCTCCCCTCTTGCCTCGCTTGCCTCTCTGTTTCCGGTGCGCTTTCCTGGTGTTGGCTTGCTCACTCGAGCTCGGTACTTCGGGACCTTCTTGGGGGTGGCGGTGATCATGGCGGTGGCGCACAATGAACTGTATCTCCAGTGGTATGAAACCAGCAAATTCCAAAAGGCAGTTTGAGTTGGCGATATCCAGCAGTGCCTGTCTGTTGTATGTTAGCAGTGCATGACATTTGTGCCCTGCAGAAAGAGCGAAAAACACACAAAAAAAGAAGAAAAAGCCGGCAAGTACATCAAATACATCTGCTGCGGAGGGTGCCATGTTGTCAGATGGATAGATGGGACAGATGGGAGCAGCGTCCGGGTCCCTCTCTGTCATAACTTAACCAGGGCTGTCACTCTTTTCCCTTGCCGGCATTGCACTGGACCAGAATATCCACACAGCTTTTTGCTTTACCAAAAATCCGAGAAAAGGTATTTGAAATGAGTTGTCTGATTTTTTAGTAGCTCTTCTCTGGTGAAGGTAATCTGGGATGGGTTGCAGACTGACAAAATAAGGAAAGACAACACATGAGTGCTACTAAGGCAGCCATATGCGACGCCATTCTTCCTGCATTTTAGTAGTATTCACTTACATAGTTTAATTAGAGACCAAGCTACAATAAGTTAACAGGTTTGCCAAACAGAAATGTAGAAAGAAAATGGCTGTTGGCTCACCAGCTCCAGCAGTTCACCTAACGCTGTTACTATATTCTCCACACTAAGCTCCCTGAACCAGATCTGTTGCAACAATGTGGATTTCTCACACTGACCTTTACACCTCCTTCTTTCCCTCTTTGTGCTTCAGTTTTACCTCTTATTCTTCTAATGTGCTCCTCCATCTCTTTTGTCTTTTCTTAGGTTTGTGTCCATCCTCAGCATCCATAGCCTCCCCCACTTACTGTGTTGAAGCTCATAAGGCGTGCTCTGATGATCCCCAGTGCAAGGCCTTGTACCGGGGCTTGGCGCTGTGTGCAGCAGACGCTGCGGTGTCCCCACTGGGGGACCAGGCAGCAGGCGAGTGTCTGGAGAGCCAGGATGCTCTACTGGTCAAACATCCTGCTCTGTTGACCTGCAAGTGCCCGCGTGACATTCGCACTGAGGAGCAATGCCTGCGCATATACTGGAGTGTTCACCTCCTGCAAGGTCAGTCAGGGAAGGGCATACGTGAAAGTGTGGATGTGGGCGCATATACAAAGCTATTTGCACATTGTAATTTAGGGTTAAGTGATTATCCAACTTAAACCACATTAAACATATGTTCTGCCATTCACACCTCACTGCATTATTTTATTTGTAGAATTATGAAATATTAAGTTGTTATTTATACTTTACCACATCAAGAACATGAGTTGTTCATAAGAAATTAGATTTTTTTTCATTAGTCAATTGATTTTCTATATCCATTTAGATTATACATGAATGTGGGTGAAGTTAGTGTTTCTCCCTGAATGCAAAGAGTCTGTGGCAAAGTACATCATGTATAGGTCACAAGCTTATCATGGGATTTAAAGCTACACAAAACAATATTTTGGCTGCACAGTAATGTGAAAAAGGCCACATACACTTTAAAAACTGAATTATTACCAACTCTGCAGCTCCCCCCTCTGCTCTACAGAATGTTTTTGTGTTTTTCTGTTCTTTACTGTTTTGGTTCAGTCTGACTGATGTCGCATCAGGGCAATTGCGAACACATTAGGTGTTTTTATGACACCTGAGCCACAGGTGTGCTGTAAAATGATAAACGTGATATTGAACTTGTTGTGGAATTCTGCTTCCAAGTAGAAAGAAAAGATTTCTGCAGAACTAGGGGCAAACCACGCTTTCTATAACTATCACTTGGGGCCTCCTAGCTGTTTAGCAGAAGATAGAAAGCCTCACTTTGCAGAACAAGGTTGGCATTATTCTATATTTTGTTACTGTCAACAAATCTAACGAAAATGCCGAGGCCAGCAATGTGTTAGTCTGTCTCAGTACTTTCCAGCTCCCTTGAACTGTCCAGTTATTCCTCTGGAGGACGTAAATAGTTAAAAACACCTCAGAAATATACATGTTCCCCTTAAATAAAAGCTTGCCAATTTCTTTAAAATGCTGGACCCTGTAGTTTTTGAAGACAAATTTTACTAAGGCAGTGCATTTGTGGGAACTATTTTCAGCAGTGGATTAATCCCCATTTAGTGCCCTGGAGAGTATGTGGAGCAGCAGGACTGAGGGATTGAGCCAAAATAAACTCCAATGCGTCTGTTCATAATAATGAAGGAACACATCATCCAGTGTAACAGTGTGGCTCAATGATATGTTTTAAATAGTCTGTGGACAACAATAGTACTCTATGGTCCAACAGTTCTTTAGACAGATACACACATTCCAGTGTTAGTTTGACTCTGTACATGGAATTTGTTGACAGGAAGAGATAATTAAAAAATTACAAGCAAAACATATTTTATTAACTAATCATGTTTTGCTTGTAATTTTTTAATTTGCAAATTAACTAGTAGTTATAGCTATCAAATAATTGTATTGAATTACAAAGTGTAATATTACCCTCTGATATGTAGTGGAGTAGAAATATAATGTAGCAGCACAAATACTTTCTAAAAAGGAAGGTCAATGACTGTCTAAACAGATGTACTGCATGTCCCCACAACTTGCATAATACAGGTACTCAGACAGACGCACCCAAGTCATGTTTGTATAGCTGTGAAGATATTCACTAATAAAATGTGTTCTTTAGCCCCTTACCCTGACCTCAGCCATGACAACTAAATGTCTAACCCCAACCCTGATCTTAACCTAATTCTAACCTGAACTCTAAAATCAAGTCTGAAGCTGCAAACGGCCTTCTGAACATAGGAGGACTGATCAAAACAAAACAATGATATTTTACTAAAGTGTATCCACACAACCATAGACAGACATACACACACACACACACACACACACACACACACACACACACACACACACACACACCAGCATATCTGGAATACTGGTGTGATGTGTGCAATCATAAGTGAGCTAACACTAGCAGACCAGCAGACTCCTCCTCCCCTGTGGCCTATTAGTCAGTGGAGCATTAGTGTAATTACACACTCTTCAGTTCCTAACGCTGCTAGGCTGCTCTAGTGTGTCATTACCATAAATATATAGCCTGGAATAGGATTTACATACATAAACACTTTACGTGCTATTACCTTCTAGCTAGAATTTGTACTTTGGAGTGTGTTTAAATAACTTGCAAGAATAAACGGTTCGTCCACTAGTCAATCAAGATGCTGCTAATGGGTTTCACGTTAGGACAAAAGCTGCCTTCAGCAACATGAGCTCATGGTGACTTTGGATTTGCTGTGCTATCATTCTTAACTGATCCTTTATTGTGTCCACAATGTGTAGATTGTCTATGCTATCATAAAAACGGTCTACTATCATTGAAGTTCCCTTTAAATAAGCACCATAAAATTGTAATTTAAATGGCACACCTGAACTGTACCTAGAGCGACTCATCAGATTTTAGGTACTGAATTATCATATGAGCTTTGAGCACTACTTCTGTTACTTCCTTTTACCCAAGATTACTGTACACAGTGTTATGGTTTGGGATCACACTTCCTGTTTTGTGTGCTTATTTTGGTTTGGATTACTGGTCTGTGCCACCTCACCTGTCCCAGCTTTACCTCGGTTCTAATCATTGCTTATCATTCTTACCTGTCACTCCATATCACCTGGTTCTCTGCACATATATACTCTTCCTTTTACCTCTGTTACCTGCTGGTTCATTGTATGTGGTCTGTTGCCTGTTCATCCCAGCAGCTACGCTTGTCATCTGTATCCTGTTTATTCCCTTCTCCGGTTTTCCTGTTAACTACCCATTGTTTTTGTTTGCCTGAGCCCTGGACCTGGGCTAATTCTGCTTCCAGCCTGACATGTTGTTTTTTGTTTTTGGTTTATGTGCTTCCCGGATATTTTCTGTTTGGTTATCCCTGTGAGTTGGCTTGTTTTGTAAATGATTGGGTTGAGTAACTGTTTGCTTCTGTTGCACTTCCTTCCTTTTTTGTTAAAAACCCCCATGAATTACATCCCTGCTCCCGCATCTGCTCTTTGGGTCCTACCTAGCCAGTAATCCTTAACACACAGCTCTGTCTTTGACATGACTGTCACATGTAGCAATCAGTGCCAGCACAGTCGGGGTTGTCTGAGTCAGACACAGCTGGGCAGTTGTTGTGGAAATCCTTCTTATGTATTCGAAAGTTGCTACTTTTCTGCAGAATCTATAAACCCAATGTGATGAATCATCTCAGGCTTAACCATGGTGACAACATGGAGAAAACATTGTCAGTGTTTTTATGACCAGGATTCTTAAATGATCTGGTTCTATGCTTTACAGAAAGTATAAAAAAGAAAGAAGACAAGAAAACACATTCAGTATAGGTTTCAGTGTATCCCTACTTGTTTGTGTTTGTTGCCTCGGGCCTCTTAGGCAATAACCCAGAGACCTGGAGTGTCATGCCTTCACAGTGAGGCTGTGGAAGCCAATTAATAAAAATTAAAGGTCAAATGCAAGATAGTTTTACTTAATCATGCAGTTTCCTCATCTAGATTACTGCCACCATAGGGTTTAGGGGTGCCCCATTAGGCACAGGTTGCAAATCTAACCTGACTGTATCAGTTGGATCAATTGGTATTTTGATGAGCAGTAATGTTTTTTTTTCTCCTGTAACCACTTCACTTAACTACCTCTACATAAGGGCTTGCATACAGGTGACCACATGTATTGTACAAAGGTATATTATAATACCAAAAACAGGACAGGGATGAGCACTAGAACATTCACAGCACCCCCAAGGACTGAATTGGTCAGATATCCCCTTGTTGGGCCTGTGACACACCAAGCCGACAGTGTTCAAACAGTTGTCTCTGGCATCTTATTAACTGCTCTATTGTGCATGTTGTGAAATCAAATTCTTCTGGGCTCTCCTGACCCTGCATGGGTGACATAGTCGAACCACTTCTCTCTCCATTATGGTCCCTGAATAGGAAGGTGGTTGTGGACTCGTAGTTAGATAGACATAGATAGAGACTTTATTGTCATTGTAGTAGGCAGCTCTCAGCAGCCAGCAGAAATAAAAGAATCAAAATAAAACAAGATAGTTACAATGTAAATATAAGCAACAACAATGATCCCAACAGCAAATATATACAATGGCATATGTGTACAGTGGTGTTTGCATGATGGAAAGCAGTGCAATGCAATGTACTAGTTAATGTCAGTAGGATGTAAGGTGCTAAGTGCATTAGCAGCAACTTGGGGGGAAATGGGGTGGTGGTGGGGTGGGAAACAGGTTGGTTATTACAGTCTTCAGTCTTTTGCAGTGGTGGGTGTGTGGAATTGGGTATGTGTGTGCGTGAGGGAGGGGGGTGTAACACAGGCTACAGCTCTGGGGAAGAAGCTGTTCCTTAGACTGTTAGTGTGTGTCTTCATTGTCCTGTATCTTTTTCCTGAGGGCAGGGGGACAAACAGTCTGTAACCTGGGTGGGTTGAGTCCTTAATGATGATGCTAGCCCTCTTGTGTAAGCAGCTAGAATAAACTATTTCCAAATTGGGGAGCTGAGTTCCCACAGTTTTCTGTGCAGTCTTGACTATCTGGGCCAGGTCTCTCCAGTTCTCTGCAGTGCAGCTGGTGTAACACACTGTAACACATTGTTCAGGACCAAGTCACTGTGTGAGCACCACTCAACAAAGTGTTGAACCTCCTCTCTGTATTGTGTCTCATCATTCCCAGATATCAGTCCAACTATAGTGGTGTCATCAGCAAACTTCACCATAGTGTTGGAGGAATGGGTGGGGGTGCAGTCATGGGTGAACAGGGTGAAGAGGGCTGGACTGAGGACACAGCCCTGTGGTGCTCCTGTATTCAGGATGAGAGTGGATAATGTGCAGTTGCCCACCCTCACATTTTTTGGTCTGTTAGTGAGGAAATCCAAAATCCAGGAGCAGAGTGTGGTGGTTAATCTCAGGTTGTTGAGCTTGATTACCAGTTTGTGGGGGACTATTGTATTGAAAGCAGAACTAAAATCAACAAATAGCATGCTCCAGATGGGTCAGGCTTGTATGAAATGCAATTGTTAGGTACATTAGTGCCAGTCAGTCAAGTTGTTCAAGATATATTTGTTACAGGCTGAAATATGTCAACATAGCTTGCAATGAAATTTGGTTCAGACATTCATGGACCCCTTAAAATAAATCCTACCAACTTTAGTGAACTCCCTTTAGCACCACCCAAAAATTGACATTTATTTGTTTTGGCTGACATTTTTCAATGGGCATTGGATGGATTAAAATGCACCAGTATTACATACAGTTATTCTCAGAGGATGAATCTGTCATGATTCGGTTCCGCTGCTTCCTGTCCAGCTTTTATTTTGACGTTACTTCCTGTTTTTGTTTCACCTTAGTTTCGGTCTTTTTACGTTCTTCATCACTCACATTGGTTTCACCTGTTTCGTTATTGTTTACACCTCTATTTAGGCAGCGTCCTCCCACCAGGACGCTGCCAGATTGTTCTAGACCCCAGCTCTGACTTTCCAGCATTTTCTTCGGTTTTGGTATTTTGTGTTTCTGACCCGGACTGTTACCTTGGTATATTCGTTTCTGCTTTGCCCTCTTGTCTCGGACTGCCACAGTGTATGATATCGGACTTCCCTCTGGACTACGTATTTTGGATCACCTCTGTTGGATGTGTTTGCTGGCTCTGACCTTGGACTGTTAAGGACATGAGTTTTGTGTTTTCACCGTGTCTCGTATGGTTTTGTTTAGTTTTAGCTCTCTTATTAAAGAGACGGTTTTGTTCAACACTTCCTCGTCTGGCCATTTAATTGAGTTCACCTAACACTTTTCGGCCACATTACGCGTGCTGTTTCTGACAGAATCCTGATCGCTCTGCTGAGACTCTGACTTTTTATCTAGGACCACCAGCCGGTCAGAGGTTTTTTTGTTTGTTTGTTTGTTTTTTTTTGTCAAATACTTTGCAGGTATTTGGTCACAAACCAAATAATGATGTTTCCATAAGGCTCAGCTGCACTGGTTCTGCCTTACATCACAGCTACAGAGCCTATGTATGTAGCTGGCATATCCACACATGCCTGATGTGAACCACCTCAAAAGTGTAACTACACATTGTGGCTGTCACAAGTGTGGGGATAACATGTTGAGACACAAATAACTGTTGGATTGGGCTGCTTGTATTTTCACCTCAAAGTTTTGAAGATGGTGGAGTTTGATAGTGAAGACAATATCAAGGAAGTTAAAGAAAGGCTTAGTAATCTGTGAAGCCTTTGCAAAAGCAAATCTGCTTCTCATCGTGGTCACTGCTCTCTATTACAGTGAATAAAGGAATGTAAACATGGTGATTGCATGGAGGAGGTCTCCTATTCAGTGATGAGATAAAGTGAACCTTTCCTTTGAATCACCGAGTAAATGTAATGTAAACATACCTACTGTGGGAAGTATAATTAAAGCATGCCAAGGCAGGGTTGGCCAATTCCAGACTGGAATTGGCCACCCCTGATCTAAGGTATCTGCAGTGGATTCAGAAAGTATTCACATCCTTTAAATTTTTCCACATTTTATGTTTCAGTCTCATCTTAAAATTGATTCAGTTCTTTCTCTCTCTCTCTCTCATAAGTCTACACACAGTACTTCACAATGACAAAGTTGACAAAGGCCAAACAGGTTCTTGGAGTGTTTCATTTATTTACTAAAAATAAAAGACTGAAATATCCCATTTAAATAAGTATTCAGACCCTTTGTTATGACATTTGCAAATTGAGCTCTGGTGCATCCTACTCCTACCGGTGGTCATTTAGATGCTTCCACAACTTGATTAGAGTTCACCTGTGCCTAATTTAATGCATTGTATATAATTAGGAGTGGCACACACCTGTCTATATAAGGTCTCACTCTGATGCTGTACATCAGAGTGAAAACAAAGCTGTGAGATCGAGAGAACTGTCCAACAGACCTGCAAGACAGGATTGTGTCAAAACACTGATCTGGGTAAGGATACAAGAACATTTTGGCAGCATTTAAAGTGCCCAAGAGCATCATTCTCAAATGGAAGAGAATTGGACCTGGCCGCCCAGCCAAACTCAGTAATCAGGGATGAAGGGCCTTGGTCAAGTTCAAATTTACTTTATTGTCATTCAACACCATACATATTACAGTGCATAGCAGAACAGAATTGCAATTGCACCTAGCTCCTTAGGGAATGTAAAAACAGCATTTAAAGTTATTTAAATAGGAACATAAACACAAACGCTATGAACAAAAACCTATACATATTATAAACAGACAATAAGTCATCAGGTTGGATGAGTGGACGATACAGTATGTAGTATAAACTGTGCAAAACAGCAGGTTCATTGCTAAATGGAGATGGCAGAACCTTACAGAAGGACAACCATCAGTGCAGCACTCCACCAATCAGGCCTCTATGGTAGAGCAGCCAGATAGAAGGTGTTCCTCACTAAAAGACACATGACAGCCTGCTGGGAGTTTACCAAGAGGCACCTGAAGGCCTCTCAGACTATGAGAAGTGAAATCCTCTGGTCTGATGAAACAATCACTGAACTGTTTGGCCACGATTCCCAACGGCATGTGTGGAGGAAACCAGGCACTGAGCATCACCTCACTAATACCATCCCTACAGTCAAACACAGTGGTAGTGGCAGCATCAGGCTGTGGGGATCCTTTTCTGTGAATGGGACTCAGAGTCAGGATAGAGGGAAGGATGGATGTAGATAAATATAAAGCAATTCTGAGGGAAAACCTTCTTCAGAGTTCTCAGCATCTCAGGATGGCAGGTTTACATTTGAACAAGACAACAACCTGAAGCAAAGAAAACACAGGAGTGGCTTCATGAAAACTCTGTGAAAGTCCTGGAGTGGCCCAGTCAGAATCCAGGCCTGAACCCAACACAGCATCTCTGGAGAGACCTGAAAATGGCTGTGCACCAACTTCCCCATCCAATCTGGGTGACCTTAAATGATTCTGCCAAGAAGAATGGAAGAAATTTCCAAAACAAAGGTGTACCAAGTCTGTCATTACTGCAAAAGGTGCTTTAACCAAATACTAAGTGAAGGGTCTGAATACTTACGTAAATGGGATATTTCTGTTTTTTATTTTGAATCCATTTTCAAAACACTCAGAAAACCTGTTTGTGCTTTATCATTGTGGAATATTGTGTGTAGATTGATGAGGAAAAAAAGAAAATGAGCTGAATTCGTATTGAGTCTGAAACATAAAATGTGGATAACTTGAAAGGGTCTAAATACTTTCTGAATCCACTGTTTGTAGATAGAGGGTATCAGACATTTTACAGGTGGGGGGCATTCTCTAAAGTTAGAAAGGAAACTAATGAAGGCAAGCAAGAACAGTAAAAATTTTCAAAGTACGTAGGCAGTTCTTTTATTCATGGACCCTTCTGCACTGCAGGGGATGCAGGGGGGAGGTCTTTGCCATCCTAATGAACTTTTCTGAAGTAAATGTCAATTTGCTACAGTCAGAAAATATACCACACAAATCTAAAGATAGAATAGACTATATCAGATATTCATTTCCTTGTCACACAGAGCAGCATGCTGGTGAGGCCAGCTTAACTATGTTTGATGTGCTGCTAATAATGTTGGACATATTTATAGGAATGGGTGGTTTGAACATACTGTTAAGTCTGTAGAAGACTCATGTTTGCACTTGCAATGTTCTTATCATTGTAGGATTATCCTTCTCTGCTGTGCTCTACACTGCCTATTGTCATTTTACTTTTCTGTGTGTCACTGCTTTCTGATACAGCACCTCCAAAAACTGTTATCTTTTGATGACATAACCAATCAGGATCACCTTGTCATTGTAAAGGAAAATGTTGCGGTTTAATGGCATCACACTTTCCTGTCTCAAACAGCATTCGTTAAAACTTTTATTTTTAATAACTGAATGCTTACTAAATCTTTGTCTATTTACAGAACCTCAACTATTTTTCAGAAACAACCATTGTATCTGGTTAAAATGCATCATCAGGTCAGAAATTTTCTGACAAAGTAACTCCATTAATCAACTATAAAGTTAATGTGTTAGAGCAAAATATTTTAGGACCTGGTGTATCTTTTTCCATCAAAATATATTGGCTCCAGTTTTTCCTGATCTGAGAGCTGTGTGAGAGCTAGCATGGGATGAGTACTGTGCAGAAGTTGTAAATCATATCAGATAGTTTAAGTGGAAGGAAATGGTCCATTATTGTACTCCATGACCATTGCCTCAGAAGAGTCGTTCATTTAAGGTTTGAATTTTATCTTGGGGTCTCTAGCACAGTTCTAGACTTGATTGCACTTTTAACCTGCTACAGTGTTTTCTCTTGGATCATTTGTTGTAAGAAAGTAGATACCTGTTGTAAAATTCCCCAAGGTTCAATCCTAGGTCCTGTTCTTTTCTGTTTATATATGAGTTTTAGTTGTTTTCTTTAGTTTGCTCTTTCTTTTTTTACTTTTGCCCAGAAAACTTTTCATAAATGACCTACAAGTCATTGTTAGTAGGCGCATTTTCATCATTTGCATTTTCAAATTTACCTTCATACTGGCTTTATAAGCACAATTAACATTACACAATTTCTTTCTTTAATTTTTTTATTAATCTTTTCAGAGCAGTTCACGACCTCATTCAGATTACATGGATAACCTTGTCACAGTGCATTTGAGGGAGGTCACATGGAGTTTCGTTGGTGTTTTTCAATTTCCTTTTGCTGTTTTTTGCTCGGTTTTATTCTTTGTTATTTCTGAACAACTGTGGATCATATTGTAAAAGAAATAATTCTTTTGTTTGCCAATGTTTGTGTGTGGTCCATTTCTCCAGGGGAGGATGAGTTGGAAATATCTCCCTATGATGACACACCTAAAGATACTCGCATGGCCTCCTTAGTGGCAGGTAAAACAACTGTGAAATGTGCATGCATGCACCACATGCGTGCGCACACACACACACACACACACACACAGAGTCACTCATGCAGTCTTTGTTATGATTAGGTAATTTGAGGCAGTGTCCATCACTGTCTCACATGGAGTATTTAATGGCAGATATCTCTATAGCTCTGTCTTACCAGTCACACAGAGGCATCCCAATAAAGCAGCTCAATGAATTCCTAAGCCTCAGACATGATAATCAATATGTATCAATCAATGAAAACATTGTAACTAGTGACCAGGGACCTCATTTTAAAGCTGTGCTTAGGATCCATAAAACAATGTATATGTGCACAAAAAAGAAATGATGTAGGCCAAAAAGTATTATGATTTATAAAAGTTCCACATAATTATAAATCATAATCAACTTGAGAATCTGATCTTATTGGTGCGCTGTGTATTCTGTATTTTAATACCATTTATTTCATTTATTCTCCTTTTTGTTAGGTTACTGTTAAAGTCAGTGATATATTTACTTTTAGTTTTTTTAGGGGGGGTTCAATGTACACTGTTCAGAAAAAATTATGAACACAAATCACACATTGGATCTTGATGAAGGAATTATTCAAGTTGAAAACCTTTACTTCTTCTGAATAAAATGACAGTAAGTAGCACCAAAATCATCAACCGAAGGAGGCTGTATTCAAAATCACACTGAAAATCAAATTGAAACATTGAAACCACATCCAAGTTGTGTGAATTTCATCAGGACAACTCATAATGTGACTCAGAAATGTGTGTGTGTGGCCCTCGTGTGCCTGTACACACTCTTGACAACATCTAGCCATGCTCCTGATGAGTCAGTAGATATTGTCCTGGGGAATCTCCCCCCAGACCTGGATCAGGGCATCAGTGAGCTCCTGGACAGTTTGTGGTGGTACTTGGTGGCATCAGATGCCCTGATACATAATGTACCATAGGTGTTCGGTTGGATTTAGGTCAGGGGAACATGGAGGCCAGTCAATGGTGTCAATGCCTTCATCATCCAGGAGATGCCTACACACTCCTGCCACATGAGGCCGGGCATTGTCCTGCACCAGGAGGAACCCAGGGCCCACTGAACCAGTGTAAGGTCTGACAGTCGCTCTGAGGATTTCATACCGGTACCTCACATTCAGAGTACTATGACATTGAGGTCTGTGCGGCCCTCCAAGGATATTCCTCCCCAGACTATCACTGAATGGACATCAGGCCCCCATGCCACCCTCATGGAGTCTGGTCAGAAACATGCACACCAGTAGCTGCTGGAGGTCATTTTGTCACAGGGCTGCTCCTGTTTCTCCTTGCACAAAGGAGCAGACACCGGTCCTGCTGGGTTGTTGCCCTTCTTCTACACTGTCCAGCTCTCCTGGAGTAACGGCCAATCTCCTGGTATCTCCTCCATGCTCTTGAGACTCTGCTGGGAGACAAAGGAAACCTTCCTGCGACTGCACGTATGGATGTGCCATCTTGGAGTAACTGGACTACCTGTGCAACCTGACTGGGCTGCAGGTACTGCCTCATGCTGCCAGTAGTGACAAGGACACCAGCAAAACACAAAACCTGAAAAGAATCAGTCAGGAAGGATCAAGAGGGAGCATTTGTCTGTGGCCACCACATGGAAAACCATTCTCTTGTTGGGGGTTGTCTTGCTTTTGCCTCTTCATTGCACCTGGTGTCGCTTTTATTCGCACCAATGCAATGAAACTGATTCACAATCACTTGTGCTTCTTAAATGGACAGAATGATGTCCCTGAAGTTCAACTGACTTGGTGTTATACTGTGATGATTAAGTGCTTCCTTATTTTTTTGAGCAGTGTATTTTATGGGATGGGTAGAAAGGAAGGATTATGATCATTAATAAAGTGAATAGCCATATTTCTTTAAGATAAGAAGGCCAAATTTGAAACCCACTGTCAGTCCCACAGTTATCAGTTTTAACCCACAAATGATAAGTACCGAATAAATCAACGTGATTCCACAAGTCTTCCTTCTGTAAAGCTTGCTGTATCTCTGCCCTTACTGCACCCTGCTCTGCCACTTAATGTTTCTTCAGTGTTGATCGGGTATGTTTTTGGCAATATGTCAAACTTGTAGTACCACACAAACACAAATATCACTGGTTCAATGAAAAAATGACAGTAGTACATACACTGCATTCTGCATCATTTAAACAGTCTTTACTTGGTTATTGGAGCACTTATTAGTAGTTTGAAGCAGTATTGTCTTTTTTATTTTTATTTATTATTGTTATATATTTTGTTTCATGTAAAATCTAATTTATAAAATTACATTTCTCCCCTTACTGTACTGAAACTGAACCAAGCCATAATTTTTGTGTACTGCTACATTCCCACATACTGTGCTTTTTCTTTTTCCTCCCTTAAACATTGTGTAAAATATAGCTCCATAGCCCCAGGTCCCCAGTGCAAAGATTAAATACTAATATCTGTAATATACACTTTTTGAGCAATTATTGTATAAGGCATGGCTTTAGTATTTCCCTATTTACTCCTTTCTGCACACACATTTTCTTTTTTGGCTAATGTGACTTTCCCTCACTCATTCAGCTTCATCTTTGATGCAACTGGATGTTGAGAACCAGTGCCTGAAGGCAGCGCAGGACTGTGGCTTGTATGAGAAGTGTGGTTCCTTGCGATCAGAGTATGTACTGGCCTGCACCAAGCGGGTACCAGGGTCCAACCGATGCAACCAGCACAAGTGCCATAAAGCCCTCCGGCGCTTCCTGGACCGGGTGCCTGCAGAGTACAGCTTGGGTGTCCTCTTCTGCCCCTGCACCAACACCCTGTGTGGTGAGAGGAGGAGAAAAACCATCGTACCCTCTTGCTCCTACCAGGAGATGGAAGGGCTGCAACCTAACTGCCTCCACCAGCAGAGCTTCTGTCGCCGAGATGACCTCTGCAGGTTAGGCATAAAGCCAGACAAATGAATAGGGCTGATTCTCTCTGTACATTCTAACACTTATAATAGCTGTAAAATGTCATTACAGTATATGTGGCAGTCAGATTACATAATTATTGTGAAACTGATAGCAGTGTTATGTACTGTAACATTGCTTGCATACGGATTGTATCCATGTTTGTGTGAATATATTTTGTAATTATAGTAGTATCTCCATATCGTTCAATTTCCTTCCAGCTCTGTTCATGAACTGTAAAATTGTGTTGACTTTAAAAAATATGATGAAAAATTGAGTATTTGGGTGATTTAAATAATCAAGAAATATAGTCTGCTGTCTCAAAATGGTGGTGCAGGCTATAAACAGATTGTCAGTGGCTAATTGATCACCCACAGCGCTGCCTAAGAGTCACAGTATTAACACTTAGCAGCAACATAATGTATATAATCACAGATTTTTTTCTGCCATGGTGAAGCTTTTTAACTCAATTAGCAGTAGTGTCAGAGAGTAGTTATGCAAGTGTGAAAATTCAGAGATGTGCTAAATTACTCCAGTAAATTTCATGTAGCTACCATGACGTCTGCTTCCCATCAGTGCCTGAATCCCAGTGGCATGTGTTGTGAAGGTCAGCGTATCTGTTTAGGAATCTCCAACTCATTACTTCCTCAGCACTTAGCACTATGAAGGTGGTTTGCTTTTGGTCCACCTTGCCCATTCATGTGTCAAAAGTCAAAGTTGAATTCTATACAAATAAATATGGTGGATTTACTTTGCACCTCTGAATGGATTTGGAGATTGTGGATGTTGCACTGCAATGAATAAATTTCATCAAAATTTCACTCTTTTGAATGCTGGCCTGACCAGGACTTTATGATGATGATGATAATTATATTTAGTGTGCCATGGTTTGATTGCAGTTTTAGAGGCTTTTCTGCCATATAATGTTTAATGTCCAGGGAAAATAGTCATACTTAATACAAATGTGTGGATATTAAAAACTGACAAAAAATGGTATTGCCTTCTCAAAATGCACATAAATTCCCCAGTCCTGTGTAAAAGTTAAAAAAGCTGAGTGAACAGTGCAAGTATCAAGAGGAAAGTGATAATGAGAAGACAGAGACAGTGCTGGAATATGTCAATACATAAAAAAAAATAAAAATAAAAAACTGAAAACTCTAAATCTGTTGAACCTAAATTTACACACACTTATCTAAATTTCCTGCCTGTTTCTTGTAATTGATGTTGACTTGTTGTTTGTGTTGTTGCCAGATCCAGACTGGCCGATTTCCTTACTAACTGCCAGCCATCTCCGGTGACTACCAGTGGCTGCCCGAAGGACTCACCAGGCCTCTGCCTTCGAGCCTATGCTAGACTCATTGGTATGGGACACAAGGGGTGGGAATAGTGAAATAAATGTACAATAATAAACTCAATTCTATTTTATTATTGAGGTCATAGTTAAAGGTGGTGTTGTACTGGACTACATTATTATTGAGGTCATAGTTAAAGGTGGTGTTGTACTGGACTACATTATATTTAGAGGTGTTTCTAACTCACTCTCAACACCACAAAGTGTCTTTTTTACATTTCTGCTTTTTGTAGACTTAACAGCTGAGGCACAACGTATCTGTTTCAGAGCTTTATATTTGGTGGCAGGCTAGCTGTTTTTGTCCTGTTTCCCCCATATACTAAGCTAGGCTAATTGGCTAACAGCTTCAGCTCAAAACACACATGAGACACCAACATGACATTGGTATTGATCTCTCTTGGAAAGAAAACAGATCGGTGTATTTCCTAAAACGTTGAAGTGTTTCTTCAGTACATAAAAATGGTATGCTTTGTGTGTCACAACCGGCCATGGTGTTTGCTTCTGGAGTTTCACCCAGGATCCAGCTTAATTTCTAAATTTGGGCTGTCTGGCTGCAAAAATTGCCAAGATACCATCTAGCAGAAAACCCTATCGTTAAGCTTTAAAAAGTCCCTTCAGGGAAGGTCACAGCAACAGCTTCATATTTTTTCTGCAGGTCATGGTTTAGCTTTGTTTGCGGTGTAAAATGCAGTGTAGATAGAGGCTGCCAGTCTATCTGACATGGCAATTTAGCTTACATCTCTGAATTACTGTAATAAAGATTTGTTTGGGTTAAAACATGACATGTACCTTATTATATAACACTCCACTGACCTGCAGGTACCATCATGACGCCCAACTATGTCAGTAACAGCTCTGCTGACGTGTCGCTGTGGTGTAACTGTGAAGGCAGTGGGAACCAGTGGCAGGAGTGTCTGAGACTGCAGCATATGTTCACCCACAACTCCTGCCTGCGTGAGTCTATCCTCATATACTGCTCTCAGCAGAGAATGCCAGATTTGTTGTTTATTGATTTGTGGCTTATTAGCCTTTAAACCCAATTTGTTTAGTGATATTTCGATTAGTTTTCAGACAATTTAAAATATTGTGTTTGCATTATCAGTGGTATTAGTAACTTGTGTGCTTCTTTGACCTTTGTTGCTCAACCAAATGAAATCCTGATTCCAATCCAATTTTTTTTTTCATTTCTGTTTTTATACACACTAAATTAAAGAGATGTGTTAGTCAGTGAGCACTTAGAGGAGTTGGCAGGTGTATTTCTGACAGAGCCAGCCTGCCTGTCAGAGCTCTGAGTTCAGTCTTTATGCTAAGCGAGGCTAACCACTCCCTGACTCCAGCCCTGTATCCTACTTAACAGATTGATTTTGAACTTCTCATCTAACTCTTATATGAAAAGCAGAGTTATATGTATACATGGTTATACATTTTCAACAAAGCTTCATATCCTGCTCACAAAGTAAATGAAAAGAATATGTATATTTCATAAAATGTTGAGTTTTGAAGCATTTTTCCAAAATCTTTGGTGCTAAGAATATTAATGCAGTGAATATTTTGGGTTAAGGAATTCCTTAGAACTTCCCTACCTATAAGAATCTCATTTATTTAAGGACATTTTCTACAATAATAGCTTAATCTCATTTTATGCAACCATTTACTTTTCTAAGACAAACAAACAAACAAAACATAAGGATTTTCTGATTTTATGATGTGTTTGGGATGTAAACAGTCACATTCAACAGACCTTCCAATGTTACTGCTGTCCATGTAGTGTTTATAAAGCCTGTTTTAAATAATGCATCTGAGAATCATATTTATGAAAACAGCCTTAATATGTCACCATCAAAGATACTCAGAGGAGCAGCTCAAAGGGAATAAATGGAAAAAATGACTTCAACATGATGTCTGCCAAATCTGTCTGGGTGTCTGGCTCCTGCAGCGATGCTCACAGCATGAACTGAACTCTACCTCTTTATATATCAGCTACATGCGACAGCCTTAGCATTCATAAAAGTCTCACAGTCAAGAGGTGTGAGGAAGAGGAGTCAGAGGGTAGAGCCCTCCAGCTGTCACTCAGTCGTAGTGGCTGTCAATAAGGCCATCGATACACACTGAGCCTGTATGTCCAAACGCTAAAGTCTGGATTGATGTGTCAATGCACTTCCCATAAAGCTTGCTGATTTATCAAGCTGCCGACAGCTCAAACAATAAAGCTGCCAAATAGATATGTAGGTTCACACCCACACAGATGCAGCATTACTGCACGCAGGCTAACCAAGTGCATGCACACACACGCATACACGCACTGATGGCACTGATGGGGCTGTTTTTCCATGCAGGTAACTCTATCAGTTGGATGGGGAACCCCAGCTCCCTGCCTGCAGACGCCTCCCCCCCTGCTCCCAGACCTTCCCCGCTAGGTCACGAGTCTGTGCTGCTGAGCAACAACCACCTGCCTGAACACAACATTGTGAGTACACTTCAGCTCATCTTGCTAATTGCCTACACATTTTAAATTACTTTTCAGACTTTTATCCCAAGGCCTTTTCTGTTATCTTTGAGCTAATCACACCACTATCAGAAAGTATGTTGTTTATTTATTGTATTGGTTTGGGGCTTTTTATCTTATATAGAATTTTTAAGAATTTCCTTGAGAGAATTTTGAAACGCAAATTGCATCAACAAAGACCCAGGACTGTTGTGCACCTCAAAACATGTTTGCAGGAAGAATGGGACAAAATGACACCTGACACATTTCACTTGGTGTCCTCAGTCCCTAAACATCTTAAGTGTTGTGAAAAGGAACAGCAACATCACACCATGGTAAATGTTTTACTGTCCCAACTTTTGTTGGAATGTGTTGCAGCATCAGGATTGAAGTGAGTGTTTATTTTGAACAAAGAATAAAATTGATGAGGTATCACATCAAATAATGTGCTGCTGTGTTGTTGTCAATGTAATGCAGGACATAGGTGAGTTACACATCACTATTTTCAGCTTTAATTTTGATTTTACATACCATCCCAACTTTTTCTGAGTTGGGGTTGTATATTTACCAGAAGTAATCTGTTAGATCCTCCATCTCACCCTTGTATCTTACATAATGGAAATTCTATAATGTCAGTTTTCAAATAGAAAAATAAGAATTACCGCAGGAGGTCTAAGTGTTGTCTAGGCAGTCATACTGCTATGACATAAAAATGATTGACATGGAGACTGCAGTATATTAATGCTCATACTCTGTACTTAATATTAATTCACAGTTTCACTTAGATTCCAGTGGAAGGCTTTTACTGTGAAGCAGCTGCAGGAAGTGCTGAGACAGAGAATATTAGTCTGCTACTAGCAGATTAATATAGGGCTGATGTAAAACAGCTCTGAATTGTGGCCACTGCTGTACAGAACAAGAGATAATGCATTAATGCAGGTATTTTACACAAGCATAGTTATTACCATACGTGCAAACAGGAAAATGGGAAATGAAGTAAGGGAACTTGTAACTTTGAAAAAATAAAATGAAGTTATTTTTAAATGTGCCTTCAGTAATAGTTTGACTTAACAGATAGATAGATCATGGCGGCTTTCATCCTCAGGAGAAGGTCAAACCAAACGGTAGTAGTTGAACAGCATTTGTGAGTCAGCATGTGATTTGAAGATCAAAGTAGTAGCTCTGGGGCAGGAGTTATCCAAACCCTCTGGCAAACCTTCAAAAGAGTGTGTACCATCCAACAGCAGACATGCTTTCAGGACTGCTGAAGTCCAGATGATGGAAGCGAGCTTGCAAATACAAGTTGAGTTCAGAAACACAGTAAACGCAAATGTGAGTTGTTCACCTGTAAACCTGCAGAATGCCTGACCTGTGGAGGAATCTATGGCTTTAGTTTCAAAGTGAGACCCAACAGTTTCCACTGGTCATCCAAACAAACTGTTCAAAGCAGCATGGGAGATATGCTGAACTTTGGTTTAAACACACTTGCTAATAACCAGGACACACTTTTATTCGGACACCTGTCAACAGTGGTAGGAGGCAGAAGCCTGCAGTTGCACATGAGGAGACTGTTTAGTTTTGACAGTCAGAAGCGAGCATACGCCGTACTGATCAGCTGAGTAAATACAAAGACAACTCACTGGACATTAGTGTACACTATAGAATTTTAATGAGACCAAGATCAGAAGGGTTATGCTTTTATTTAATGACTGTCATTACAACCGACCCTGACTGAAACAAAACTGATCCCACTTGGTCTGATTAGTTGTCAAATTATATTTATCATAGGCTCAACAAAGTTTGTCCAAGACACTCCTCCCAAGAAAAATGACAGCATCAGTTGCTTCAGCAACCCACACAGGCATGGGAAGAACACCACCATGTCATTTTAACCCAAACCCAACATAAAATGAGTCATTTTTACTCTTTAAACAGACTGATAGTGTTATTTATAACAGATTTTGAAAGCGCAGACAAATGATGTATCTGTGCTGATAGAGGCATTAGACAAGAAAAGGCTTTTATAGCCTCACACAGATATGGCTCGCTGTATATCTCTAGGGTGAGCTGTTTTGAATATACAGACAACTGTCACCGGATTACTTTAATGTCAAACAAAAACTTAAAGACATGAGGATTCTCAGACAGCTTTTGGAATTGTATGGAACATCTTTATTCTGCCATTTCCTAGAGAATTTTTGGATGTTTTATGCACAAAGGTACTGATACCCATGAGCAGTTTAGGTCACATTAAATGTAAAAATATTTGTATGTGTGTTTGTGTTCAAATTAGAACTAAGAGAAGGAGCACATGTTTTGACACAAACTCTGGCTTCCTCTGTGTTGTCCTTCAACCCTCCTGTGCACCCCTCACAGTATGAAAACCTCTCATATGGACACATTTTTTTTACCTATATTTCGCTCACTGGACAACAAAATAGACCACATACAGCTCCTGTGATCTGCACGGCTGATCTGTGAGGCTAAGCTGTGTTTTGATTTTTATGGAGACATGGCTAAATGACAGCACTCTGGACTCTACTAGCTAGCCAGGCTAACATGCCACCGAGCCGACTCGTGGAGGGGGGAGTTTGTGTTTACATTAGCGTTGCTTGATGTTGGAACGCTGCTGTTGTTCATAAACACTGTTCTCCGTTGGTGGAGTTTATTATCATCAAGTGTCGGCCTTTCTATTTATGTAGGGAGTACTCAGTAATTCTGTTGATAGCTGCGTACATTCCTCCCACCGCTAACATCAGTGATAGGCACTGAATGAACTCTACCAGGCCGTCAGTGAACAACAGACAGTGCACCCAGATGGATTCCTCATCACAGCCGGGGACTTTAGTCATACAGATTTAAAGGTTTTACTGCCCAATCTGCACCAACATGTGAACTTTCCAACAAAAGAAGAAAACACACTGGACATTGTATACACTATATGCAAGGGAGCATACAAAGGCATCCAAACCCTCACAGGCTATAAACCCCCACCTTGGAATTGTGACAATGACATCTCTCTGCTGAACAGCCTCAATGACTTCTTTGGCCGCTTTGAAGCACAGAACAACACACCAGCACAGAAGACCACCCCTCCCCTGGATGAACAGGCTGTGTGTCTCTGCAGCCAGTGTGAAGAAGACCCTCTCCAGGATCAACCCATGCAAGGCAGCTGGACTGGATAACAAACCGGTCATGGTTTAAAGGACTGTGCTGAGGAGCTCCAGGATGTCCTCATGGACATCTTTAACATCTCTCTGAGCCAAGTGGTTGTTCCCACGTGTTTCAAGGCCACCACAATAATTCTAATTCCAAAGAAGCCGCACCCAACCAGTTACAATGAAGGACTGTCAGACTTAACTTCACCCCAGTGACCTGAATATTAGAGATGGGCAGATGATAAAGCTCTGAAGCTTGTTTTATTTCAGTTCACTCAGTGAACTACTTAAATGTAGACTGTATTAATTATTTTCATGTCACACAAATTGCTAGAAACATGTCTTTTCTTGAACAAAAATATTGTACAGTGTTTCAGTACTAGTCTGCTAATTTTTTTAAGCCACCAGATGTTGATGTACTGTCTGTCTGTTTGAACCCTCAAAGCTTTACAAGGCAACCCATCCCTCAACTCATCCTTTTTTTTTTAAAAAAGTAGCCAAACGTCATAAATGAACGTGGCATGCATTTACCAAGCATGTGTAGAATTGAGTCCAACACATGTCATAATATGACAGCTCTAGAACATTGTGACTGGATAGTCAAAGGAGCATGTTCAAGATCATATTCATATTGTCCCTTAACTGGAACACACTGGGGACAAACACAACAGCCAACCATTCACCAACATTACTTTCAGGCTATGGGGCTTCTCGTTTTTCTTCATAGACCTGTGACATGATGCTCTGATGCTGACAGCACCTGTCGCTGTGTCTTTATTTGATACTGCTGAAAAATATATTAGGTTATCAATGTAACAGCACAGGTCTGTCGCTAGCCATAATAAATTTAGCATTTCCACCACACAAGCTTAGTTACTATTAGCTTTCCGGTAGTGTATTACATTATTTTGGTGTACCAGACAGATGCTCGGTGTAAATATTGATAACATTAGCTAGTTAGCTTACGAACTAGCTTAGCTACATCTCCGTTTGTAAGATAACCGATACATAACTCTACCTTCGTAGTCGTGGATGTATGAAGAAGCATATAGCTTAAACCCCTTATCCAGCTTGCTGCTCGGTGTTTTAGACGTCGAACTGCATATTCGGTGGACATCCGTGATCTTCATCTTTGGTACTTCTTAGAGACATCTTGAGTAGAACAGTGCCATATTTCATACTAGTCGCAAACCGAAAACAGATGATTCTGTTTTGCAGTATACGGAAGTAAGTTGCGCATAACCCCTATTGCGGTTTGCATACGGGTCAAACAGGTCCACAGAGGATGCTATTACTGCAGTTCTCCATCCAGCCCTCACCCACCTAGATTCAAACAACTCTTATGTGTGAATGCTGTTCCTAGACTTCAGTTCATTATTCAACACAATAATTCCCCAGCAGCTTATACAAAAACCTGGACACTTGGAACTCAAAACCTTTCTCTGCAACTGGGTGCTGGACTTCCTAACAGGGAGGCCACAAAATGTGTGGGTTGGTAGGAACATCTCCAAGACCATCACACTGAGCACAGGGGCTCCACAGGGGTGTGTGCTCAGCCCATTGCTCTTCACACTGCTGACCCATAACTGTGTGCACACCTACAGCACCAACCACATTGTCAAGTTTGTGGATGACACAACTGTAGTTGGCCTCATTAGCAACAATGATGAGGCCAACTACAGGAGTGAGGTGTGCCAACTGGTCCAGTGGTGTAAGGACAACAACCTCTTCCTCAGTGTGGGGAAAACTAAAGAGATTGTTGTGGACTTCAGGAGGAAACCTCTAAAGCATACACCACTGACCATCGACGGTACTGTAGTGGAG